CCTTCCCAATATGCTTGACAGAACAACATTTTCATTTGTAAATTCCACACATATACTGAAATTCGTCCAATGGTTTCAACTGGTCTCACTGGCTGGAATTCTTCGGAATGTTTTTAAGATTGGCTGTGTTTTTCAGAGTTCTGAATTTCCATTTGACCCTGCTCTCCTTCACTGTTCAAGTGGGGAAGAAAAGAGATTTTATACCACTCAAGACTCCATTTTCAAATATTTCTGACAAGCCACAACTAATTTTTAAAGTTAGTTACTTCTATGGTAAAACTTTTCTACAAACAGCATTCTGATTGCTCCGACACAGATTGCACAAAATTAAAATACAGAAGAGATCACACAACATTTGGTTTATGTTTTTTATTCTTTCCATAACTTGGTGCCTCCTCACACATTACAAGTATTTCCTGGAAGAAGGCCACATAATATTCAAAAAACATTTAAATATGGGGTATGGGATCAATGTCATTACAAGGTATCATTCAACATAGAGATTAGATTTTCTTTGAACAAATTTCCTGTAAATTGCAAATCTTATATAAAAATCTTATTCTACCAAATATGAAATCACATGTTTTCTGAAAAATGACTGTCCAAAGGAATAAAATCACACATGTAAATACAGCAAACTTTATTTACAGTCAGAAAATAAAAAATGGCAAATTTCCTTGGAAATGCTGAATACTTCTAAAATAACTAAAACTGAAAAATACTGTAACTGTGGTAAGAAATAGAATTATTGCCTTTATCTTACATCAATATCTTGCAGCTCTTCAGGCCTCAATTTGAGAATCACTCAGGGAATTTCTGCAAAATGCATCCAAAGGCAGTTGCTTGAATGAATGCCTGAACAGCCTCCTCATGTAGTTAATTTTTTTCCAAATGGTAACATTAACTTATCAGATCTACAAAACTATCTTGATACATTTCCTATAACTTATTTTTCTGATAAATGATTAAGATGGGTGTGCATCTGCTTTTATTTCCCTTCTCTTCATCTTTTTTTTTTTTCCTAGCTCTAAATGATCGAGAGCTGAGAACCACTGAATTAAAAAATGAATAGATCCCATAAAAAACACCAAACCAAAAAAAAAAAAGAAAAAAACAAAAAAACTTAGTACAAGTGATTCATATTTAGCAAAATTATACTATATGCTACAGTTCTTTTCAAGTCCCCTCAAAAGCCAAAATTTTTTATTTATCTTTTACAATATCAGGTCACTATGGAAATTTATGGTACGGTAATAGCCAGAATAGTGGAGGTGAGGGGAAAAGGTAGAGTTGAAATGACATGGGATACTACAGAATTCTTTATTCCTGAATTTCAGATGAACTGTCTCTGCTTGAATTTATGCGTATATACAATATAAGGAGGGATACCAGAGACCTGCCATTTAATAGGTTAACAGAGGATCAGATTAATGTATTTTTTAAATGAGACACTGTCAATCAAGTCAGATTGAAAAAAAAGTATCATGAAGTTTTGGAAGAAATCATGAAAACAATACAACATAATCTATGGAAAAATATGAAAATGTATGAAATACATAATGAAATGAAATCCATAATTAAAGTCTATAAAAGTACCAGTTTGAGGAGATAGTTTTGGTTTCCATCTTACTGGTTGCCATCTCTTTCTCTCATCAAAATTCTTCCACGTTTTGCTTCAAAATAACCTTGATTATTTCCAAAATCTAGAAGCGAAATATTGAAAAGTTCTCATAGCAGTATCACAACATGTACTATGTAAAGAACACACATCCTGAGGAAACAGGAAGACAGAATCTCTGTCCTTAAGTATTCAAGAATTAGACAACTTGATAAATGTGCAGCAGTATTTTTACTGCACTGTCGGGGCTTCTTCCTTCCAACCTTCCTTTATTCATACCTTGTCCATCCTTATCCATTATCTCTGCAGTTGGTTTTCTATCTGCTAATATCTTTAAGCCAAAACAAAAACATGAAACTGAACAGAGGTTCAAATCATGATGAGTATGCCACCAGAGTACATTCTCTGTAACACCAATTGTTTCAAACACCCGGGTGGGAGAAAGCACCAAAGTCGCCGCCACAAGCTTTTGTTCTCCTGCTAATTATGAGTTAAGGTGCTCAAAAACTGGCAGCTACAAAATCCATCGTCCATTTCCTTAATTAGCCCTTTCTTTTCTTTCATCTGAGTAGACCTCACTTGATTGATCTAATGCTATCAACATTGCAGCAGAAAAGGTAGAAAAAGGCAAACCTAATTTTGTCAGGAGGGCAGGCTGTGTTACAAAAAAGTTTTACAGTAGTATTTAGCGGTCTCCAGGTAGCTTTTACAATAATCCTAGAAATGAGGGTAGCTTTGCAACTAAGAAAACCTGCAAGTTTACCATATCTTGTTTAAGGTAAACCCAAAAGACAAATAAAACAAACAGTCATCAATTCTTCTCACCAACATGTTTTAATATTTTACCAAAAATCATCTTAGCCTGGTGGACAGCATACGATTTAGGACTCATGTTAAGTAAATATCACATTAACTTAAAATGTTCAAGCTTATATTCAATTAAGGAATTTTAAAGACTACCTTCTCCATATCCAAAGTTCAGCAACCACTGTCTGGCATCTTTTCTGCTGTACAACATATGCTACATGTAGACAAGCTGGAAAGAAAGAGAAAGGCCCATGTTTACTGCAAACATGAAATGTAGGGACTTAGTATTAAAGGTAAGATTTTC